CTTCAAGTCTTAAATACGCATCAGAATACGAAGCCTAAGAAAGAGAATAATCGATGAATGAGAAAGTATTAAAATAAATAATAAATATAAATAAAAATATATATATATATAAATATATATTAATATAATATATATATATATATTAATAATAATTTTTTATATATTTTATAGATAATATTTTATTTAAATTAAATATTTAATATATTCATATATATAAATAAACTGATTTATATTTATTTAAATAATAAAGGCCAGAAAATTAGGCTCTTTTTCGTTCCTGCTGAACCTAAAGTAGCATTTGTAGTAAGAATTAGAGGGTATAAAACATAAATTTATTTAAATATTTTTTATAAAAAAATTATATTTCTATAGAGTAAATTAATTACACCCTGATGCTATTAGAATTTTGAGACTTTTTAGGCTTAGATAAATCCATAACGGAACCTTTTTTAAAATAAATAAAGCAAGCTTAAATATGTTGAAGAAAGTACTTCCTTTTGTAACTTTTGGGTATTACTATTATTTTATTTAATTAAAATAAATAAATGCATAATAATTAAAAAAAATCATTATATTTTTTTCCTTAAAAAATAAAATAAAAAAATAGATATCCTTCAAGATAAACAGTTTCTAAATTACTCCTTAAAAGAGGTTTTGCAAAAGTAAATGGACAAAGAATCCCTATTACTGATAATGCTTTTATCGAAAAGGAACTCGGAAAATACAATATAAATTGTATTGAAGATCTTGCTCACGTAATTACTACTTGTGGACCTCATTTCAAAGAGGCAAATAACTTTTTATGGCCTTTTAAACTTGATACCCCTAGAGGAGGATTCAAAAATAAAAGACACGCATTCCATTAAGGTGGTGACTGGGGTAACAGAGAAGTATTCATTAATCATTTAGTTAAAGCTATGCTTTGATTTAAATTTAATTGCATTTGTTGTATTTTTTTATTGAATGTTTTCATTAATTAATAAAAAAAAATATATAATATGTTTTTAAATTATTTTTTGTTATGAAACTGTATTTAAACTCACATTGTGTTTTTCTTTTTTATTTTCTAAAAATAAAAAAAACTATAAATTTTTTATTTATAATTATAATATTATTTACAAAAAGTTTGTTAATAATTTGAATAAATAATTACTTATAATAAAAGCAAAAATAAAAAACAAAAATAAAGTAGTAAAAAACATTTTTAATAATTTTAAGATATAAATATATAATTATAAAAATATATAAATATATAAATATATATATATATATATATATACAATATATATTTTATTTTTTGTATATTTATTTATTTTTATAAATTTAATATATTTTTATTTAATTTTCATTGTATCTTTTTCATATATATTTGTTATTTATTATTTAATTTATATTTTTCTTCTTTTCATCAAATTTACTATTCTAATTATTATTTTAATAATAATAAAAATTTATGTTTTATTAGTCTTAGTTAATAGACTAACTTTCTTTTTATATTTTTTTATTTTTATTATCATTACTCAAAATAGAATTTATGCTTTAATTATAAACTAGCTTAACTTTAAAATGAGATTAGTGTTTTTATTTTTATTTAAAAATATCTTCAATATTCTAATATTTTCTACTGCAAACCATATTCTTATTTGTATATTAACTTAATCCATCTATATTTTATTATTCTTAAAAGCTTTAAATATCTTTTTATTAATTTTGGAATATTTCTGTTTAGTTTTAATCTTATTAACAAAACTATATTACATTACTATCTTAAATATAAGATTAAATATTAGGCTATGAATGACTTTTTAATTGATTATAATTAGATAAATTGTTATTGTCTTAATATTTATGATTTTATAAATTTTAAATTTATTATTTTAATTATTCCATTTTAAAATACTAGTTTTCTTATTAATTTTGACTAGATTAAGTTTAAACAGATATATTTTATAATTTTAATTATCTTTCATTGTATTTATATTTATCATATTATTAACTTATCTATAATTCATCTTAATTATTTTTAATATGTTAGTTTTTTAGTTTATTAATTTATTGTTCTAATTTATTATTTTAATTTACTAATTATTATTATTTCTATTTATATTAACATTGTATATTCTGTTATTTCTAGATTTATGTTTAAGCCTCTTCTAATTTTCTTTATTATTAAATAATCTATTTTTCTTGAATGAACAATAAATATTTTAAATCCTTTACTTTTTACTCTTACTCTTATTCTTTTTAACTCATTTTTTCCTCTTCAATTTCTTGTTTTTAACTTATTATTTCCTATTGTTAATTCTAGCAATTTTTTTCTTATTAATTAATCTTAAATGATGTTTTTTCTAATTCTGATGAATTTTAAGAAAAATTTACTTTATTTTCTTTATTTGAGATTTATAATTTGTAAGGTTATTGATTAAAACTTATACACTAATTTTAGATTAATTCATTAATGTTTTTTTATTTTTTTACTTATATATTATTTTAAGAAATAAATATATAACCTAAATTATTTTAGATTTTATGACTCTATTTATCCTTTTTATTAATTTAATTTTATTCTATTGTTTCTTATTAATTTTATTCGATTGTTTCTTATTTAATGTTTTCAATTTTATTTAGTTAATATTTTTATTAAAATTCAATCTATAGATATTTTAAATAATTACACATATTATTTCCATTATTAATTTCTTTAATCTATTTTAAATTTTATTTATAATTTTTTTTTTTTTTTTTTTTTTTTTTACATTTATTTTATTTAATATTTCTAATAACTATTAAGGTTCTAATCTTTTCTATTTATCAATTTCGACCATTAAATAGATTATATATGAAAACTCTTTTGAATAATTATCATTTATAATTTATAATTTTTATTACAATTATTATATATTAATTTAATAATTTTAATTAAATAAAATATCTTAAGTTTCAACAAAAATAGCTTCAATCATGCATATCCCTAAACTAAAAATATCACTTTTACAATCCTCGAATATTTCTAATTAAGCATTACAATTTAATAACTATATTTTATATACAAAACAAAACAAAAATATTTAATAATTTTTATTTTTACTTATTAATCTTCTGGAGATAAATATAAACCTTATATAACTTTATATTCATTTTATAATTTTATTTAATTTAAAAGAGTTTAATTATTCAAAAAACCATATTCTGCAATCTTATAAATTCCACTTTAAGAAATAAAAATACTTTTAGTTGATATATTTTTTGATGAATATCCCAACTTTTAAAAAAAAGCTAAACCACTAATAATACTTTTAATAATAGTCCATAATTCTTATTCACTAAAACAATCGAAATTTTTTTTTCTTAATTTTATTTCATCATATAAAGTTCCTATAGGAAACTCTATAAGTTCATTTAATATACAATTTTATACACACAAATTCTAATTTTATTAAATAAAATATCCTTTTTATTTTTATAAAAAATTTATATTAATATGTATTTATTTTTAAATAAAAATTATACCTTCTAACTTTAAAACATGATTTTAAATATTAAATATTCTATTATTAAATTATTATATCTATATTTAAGATAATTAAGTTTAATATATTTAACTTCTATTTATTATATAATTCCCTATTCTCTTATTCTAATATAAATAAAAACCTCCAAATAATTCATCATAATATTGTACTTTTGAAACTTTTTAATATTCTTTTTCTAGCATTTATTGGTAATTAATACTTAAGGATTTAGTACTTCCACTTCCCATACTAAATAATATTTTATTATTATTATTTTTAAAAAAATAAATAAAAGGTACTATTTATTTTTATATATATGTTAAAAATATTTATATTTAAACTAATAAATTTTTATTTAGTATTTAAAACATAAACAATATTATTTTTTATTATGGTTATTAAAAAATAAAAAAATTAAATAAATATATATATATTTAATAAATTAAAACAAATAAAAAATAAAAATAGCAAAAAAATAATGAACATAAAATTAATAATAATATTGATTTTATTACTAATAATAAACATCTTATTATTAATATTTTTAGGTTTAGGAATATTCTTAATATTTTTCCAAATCTACACAATACTCCTAGGTTATAAATTCGTATACGATTACTCAGTTTTAATACTATATAATGAATACATATTGGAAATAATTCGTAAAAAAATATTAGCACTAACATGTTTTTGTGGATTTATATTAGGTCCATTATTAGTATTAATAGACTGTCTTATATTCATAGCAGCAATAAACAATAAAAAATTCGAAGCTTTTAGTTCATTTATGGGTTTTAAACATGAATACATGACTACATATTCGATAATATATACAATTTCAATAATAGGATTATATATATTTATTATTTTAATGAATAAAAAATTGATTTAAATTGAAGAAACTATATAATTATGTTAAATAACCAGTAATGAATATTCAAACGAACTAGAATAAGATTTAGAATATATAAGTTATTTAAATAATTTTTATTTAATAAATTAAATTTTACTAAATCAATTAAATAACTAAAATATTGTCAATATAAATTCTTAAAGGGCCCAACCTTCAATTATTAGCTTAGAATCTTAATCTGTAAGAACTAATAATGATGGTAAATAATGTTCCGTTTGTTATGAAATATATACTAAAAATAATCCTTAAAATGAATATAAAATAATACAATTAGCTTGCGGGCATATATTTCATAGTATATGTTTAAGAAATAGTCTTAAATTTTAAGGAATAAAATGTCCTTATTGTAGAACTAATTTACTTTCTAATTATTAAGACTAAGTTAATTAATAATAATAAATTGTTTTTTTGTCTTAATCTTTAATAGGTGATCATTAAATTCAATCTTAATAGTTAAATAATTGAATATTGTCTTTACTTTGTTGTATATATACGTTTTTATTTGTTTTTTAATTTTATTTAAGTAGATACTTAGATATTAATTAGTATATTAAATAATATAATAATATTTTTTTTTAAATAAAAAAAATGAAATCAATTATTATTAATATTTTTTTTTTTAATAAACAAAAAAAATAGCAAATATATTTTCAATAAAAAGAATTAAGATTCTAAATATATAAATTTTTCATTTATTTTTTTATCTTTATTCCATAACATTAGTTTAAGGTCTATTACTATTAATCATTTAACTAATTAAAAATTCAGAACATTTTGAAAATCCATTAGTAAAAGACATACGACTAAGATGAACATTTTTTTTATCAACCAATCCGGCAGTAGAACCTCTAGAAACAATATTATTTTTACGAATTTCTTACATATATAAACATTTAAAATCATCTCTTTCTTTTAGAATTTATTTAATATCTACTTAACTTTTTATTTTATCATACTCATTTAATCGATTTTTTAAATCAGATTCTCTAAGTAAAGTATCTCTAAATAAATAAAAAAAAAGATATGAATAAATATAATATATAAATATATTATATATAAATATATAAATATATTTATTTTATATATTTATATATTTTATTATAATATTTTTTTTTTTAATACTTTAATTATTCTTTTATTCTTGTAGTATATTACAATAAATCATGAAAATTTTACGTAATAGACATTTTAGACAAATTTACTAGTAAATCTAAGTTTGTTCCAGTTAAAATTTTATGAATTTTATTAATTTTAAATGTTTGTGGAATTCATAAAATCTATTTAACTATCTTTTTATATATTTTATTTTTCTTTCTATAATTAAGATATAAATGTATTATAGTCCATTAGACTTGATTAAAATTTTCTAGATTTATTGTATTTCTCAGTACTATCATTTCCGAATATTTTATTAACAATTTTTTATGTATTTTATTCTAATGTTTATTCATCTTAATCTTATTATATTATATTTAGTTTATCTTCATTATTATTTTTATTATTATTGAATATTTTTTAATCTAGTAATTCAAATAATCTAATATTTAATATTTATATTTTTATTAAAATTATAAATATGTACATTTTATATGTTTATCGATTTGGATGATTTGGTTTATCTCTTTATGGAATATTAAATGAATGTTTTCCATTTGTATAAAATCCGTCCTTTTTATATAAATAAAAATATAATTTAAAAAAATAATTATATACTTCTAATTTTTAAATTGTATTTCTTTAAGTTTCATAAATATTATATAATTTAAGGATTTCCATATTTAATTAATTTATTTCTTATCTTTTAATTTAATATGTGTTTGTTTTATATAATAATAAATTAAAAAAATTACTTTTTATTATCTTTATATTTATAGATTTATTAAATATATTAACTAGTTTAATTTTTTTTATTTTAATATAAATTCGAAAACTCTTATTTTAAATAATCGATTTGTTTCTAAAAATTATATTTTAAAAAATCGATTTTATTTTTAAGATCTTTATCTACTTCAAACTTTATATTTCTTTTAATTTCATTCATATTTTAATTCTCATTTGCAATATTTTAATAATTCTATTATAAATTAAAAATAACACTAGTTTTATCATTTAAATCATTATTAGATTTCTCAATAATACTATTAACTTTATTTTATCTTTCTTAAAAGGTATTCTTTAATTACTCTTATTCACTTTCTTTATTCTAAATTAAATCTTCTTTTAATTTTTTATATTATTCTTTCAATTGATTTAAATAAATTTGTTATTTTTCATTTTTTAAAGTCAACTCACGTTTTTCGTCTTCCATTTTTTTAGTATATTTTTCTAATTTTTTTTCTAAGCTTTTATTTATTTTTTATATATTCTCAAGTTTAGTAATTGCTTCTCTTTATAATTTAAACTACTAAAGATCTTTCTAAGATGACCTTTAAAGGACTTTATCTAAATCAATATCAAGACCCAAAATATTGTTTATTTCTGATATTTTTGATTTATTTTCTCTCATAATGAACTCTATCTTTGTTTCTAAATCTTTTATTTAATCTTTCAAAGATTTCATTAATTTATCGTTTTCAGCCTAATTGGTCCCCATACTTTATAATAAAAAATCATCTTAATTTATTATATTATTATCATTATTATTATTATTATATTTAATTTAAATATTTCCCTTTGTTCTATCTCCAAACTATAGACTTGATAAACATTCATCGTAATTATTTTTATTTGGATTTATATTAATTATCAAACATATATACGCATTTTAATTTAAACAATTTTATAATACTCTAGTTAATTATGATTCTTTATGAGGAATTATGTTTTATTATTAAGAAATATTCAAAAGACACTTTTGTTTGTTTGTTAATTTATATTTATATATTATTTTTATATATACTTTTCCTAATACAGTTAATTGTGTATTAATATTCAGTATTTTTTCTAATTTATTTGTATCTCGTATATCCATATTAATTATTTCACTTCCTGTTAAATCGGCAAATTGTATTGTTGAATTTATAAACTGGTTGCTCTCTATTTTTTTTTCTTTTTGTATTAAATTTATTGTAAAAATCTATTTTTTAATTAAATTATTTAAATACTTTTTTATAATTGTTTTTACTGTATGTGAAATTGATTTTTATTAATTATTTTTAATAAATGATTCTCTTTATGAAAACTTATTATTTATTTAATTATTATTATTTTATAATATAAATATATAAAAAATACTGCTGACTATAATAAATCATATAAATCGTTCATATTAGTTATTTAAACAATTGAAATATCTTTTATAATTACTTAACCGTTAGAACTTTCTTATATAGATAGATTTTTATTAAATGCATTTTATATATTATTATCTAAATTAGAAAAATTATTATATTTAAAAATTTATAGTAATTAAAATATTTTTTTAAAAAAATATTACTTATGTTTTAAACATTTGAACTACTAGTTTATTTATTATTTTCTATTAATAATATAAAATATAAAAAAAAATATATAAAATTAAAAATAAATATAAATATATACAATAATATAGAGAAATTAGTATAAAATATATATTATATATATATATATATATATATATATATATATATAATTTTTATTTTTATAATTATTTATTCTTTTTTTTTTCACTATTTTTACTATACATTTTTATTTTAAATAATTTTACCTTATTTTTTATATAAATAAAATATTCCTAAATCTCTTATTTTATCTAAATTTACTTCTACTAAAGTACAATTTATTGTAAATTCTTTTATTTCCTCATATTATTATTTATATTTTAATAAATATTCAATAGTTCTTGGAACTAACCCTCTTTTATCATATCCTTTATCATTTAATTATGATAGTTTTTATGCTGCTTTATTTTAAATCGTATATCTATCATCTTCTCCGAAAATAGTATAAGTTTTTCCACTACTTGTTTATCCATAAGACATAATGCAGCAATTATGTCCCTCAATAAGCTTAAAAAAAAAAATTTATAAATAATTTTTATATTTAAATTACTTTTAAAATATATTGCTAAGTTGTTTTTTCCCATATTTAATCTTACTAAACATTTGAATTAAAAATTTCATTAAATTAAAAGGTTTATTTTGCTTTTTTATTTTATTAAGAATCTTTTAATGTTATTTTATTTTCTTAAGACTCTATCTCAATTAATCTTTATTAATTTTTTTATTCTATTTAACGAATTCTTGTAAATATTTTGTAGTTTTAGTTTTATTTTTAAATTTACATTATTTTTTATTAGGATGATATTTATATATGTTTTTTTTTTAAAAAAAAAAAATTACTTAATTTATGTATTATTTAATAATTTTTTTTGATTAAATGTATATTATTAATTATGATTTTTTTGTTTTGTTTTGTTTTTAATAATATAAAAAATTGAATAAATAACAAAAAAAAAACTTTAAAAAGATAATTTTATAATTATGTATTATGAATAAAAATATAACTTTTTATTTAAATATAAAAAAAAAAAACTTTTATATTTTATATAAATAAAATATTATTTTTTTATAATTAATCCCTAATTAATAAATTTTCTTAATTAAAATAAAAAAAGAAGAAAAAGAAATAAAAAAATAAAATAAAAATGAAATAAATAAAAACAATAGAAGATTATAGAAGAGACATAAAACTATTAAAGCTAAAATACTTAAAATTATAAGACGAAAAAAATCGACTTGAATTACTAGTTAAAGGATCTCACCAAATGAATTATAATTAAAACATTTTATAAGGATTAGCTGAACCAGAAATAAATATAAACACAAGTCCAAGTCGAACAAAAGATACTTATATGTCTTATGACAAATAAATAATGAAAGATTTTTAAAATAAATGCTCTCGAAATTTAGGTTTAACCCCTGAAAGTTTATATAGAGCAGCAGATGTAGAAGGAAAAGGTATTATAACAGATCAATAATTTAAACAATTTTTAATGTAATCAAAGTTAAATATGAACACTTCTTCAATATAAAGAATAATATAACTATCTGATATAAACTGCTCTGGATATATATAAAAAAAAACTTATTATTAATGTTTAGCAGCATTCTAAATAAACCAAGAAAATAACGAAGACAATAACCAGAGGCAAGAAAACTAAAGAACTTTTATACAACAAAGTATTTTTAAGTTTGCATAAAATTTAATAAATTAAAAAATTTCTCCATATGATTGTTTTATAGAAATGGATTAAGAAAATGTATTACATAAATATAATAAAAAATATATAAATATATATGTATATATATATATATATATATATATATATATATATATATATATATATATATTATATTAGAATGATAACATAACTTATGATGATTTAAATACATATTTTCATAAATATTGTAAAGATATGTCTCCAACTGAATGTATAGGTGCATTTAATTATTTAGATGTAGATTCATAATAAAACATATTAAGAGATATGTTTGTAGTTGAATTAAAAAAAATAATGAGAATTATTTCTAAAGAAAAAGGATAAGACATTTCATCTTTTATAGATAAAAAATCTAATACAAAATAAAATAATTATAATAATAATAATAATAATAATAATAATAATAATAATAATAATAATAATAATAATAATAATTAATTAGAAATAAGTTTACTATAAAAATAAATAATTTAACCTAAAAATTTTGAAATAAAATTGGATGCCGTCAATATAAATACTGTAGTAAAGAAATTTATAAATAATTATAAAATAAACATATATGATTTATTAAATAATTTAATATATAATTTGAATGATTTTCGTGCTGGAATAGTTGTAACTGATGTCTTAAGAGTTTTCGATATATTAAAATTAGACAGAAAAGTATCCGGAGGTGATAAAATAGCTTTCTTTAGGGCATTAGATTTCGGATGTAACGGTTCCATAGATTATAATGAGCTATTATGTTTTTACATATCGAATATATAGTCTAATTGGCCTATAGATTTCACCTTTCTTATTGTAGCAAGGATTCTTTAAGTATTCGAAATAAGTGCAAGTGAAGCTTTCCTTTACTGTAACATAAATCCTGAATAAAATTTATCTATTGAAGAATGCAATCATATATTCGAAGACATATTTTAAATCCAAGATATATAAATATAAAAGAAATATTTTGAATTGCTAGATGTAAATAAGAAAGGTTT